TTTTTTTTTTTTTTTTTTTTTTTTTTTTAAATAAAGGCAGGTTCACTGTAATTTTGTTTCTGACCCACGTAATTTCCCAGCCTGGTGTAATGGGCTCCTGGCCAGGCCCCGGGCTCCCAGTGACTCTTTAATTTCCAGGTAATTAAAACCACCGAGTAAATGCTCCTTTGGAAGCTTCACCTGGCCCTGCCAACCCCTCCTGACCTGCACTGCTTTGCAAGCCAATCACAGAGCATCCCTCTTTCTCAGCCTGTATTACTTTAAAGTCCATTCATTCCTGAGACGCCTGTGACTGGTGGATGCTCCTATGAATGATATGGGGCCTGGTCCATTGAAACAGGTGGCAAAGCTACCGTTGGCTTCAATTGGCTTTGCATCTGCCCTATGGTGCCTGTTCTCTCATTGCTGGCGGTGGTCACCTTGTCTCTTGTTAGTGCGGCGTTAACCCTTTGGAGACTGCCCATGTAGGTACCTATTTCTGCTCCCTCCCACCAGGAAAGCCTGGTGTCCATAGGGTTAAAAAGACTTTGTCCATCCTCCAGCATCTCTTATGCCCTTAGTGTGGGCTGCTCGTGCCCCCTGAGAGCGAATTAGCAGCATCACCCTTGTTTGAGTGCTTCACAGCTGCAGTCTCCTCACCGCCAGCACCATCCTGCTTCAGACATTTCCGCTAGCCAGGGGTGGCAGAACTGGTGGGCGGGGGGGGGCTAGAGCCCCTGCAATGGAAATATTGTGGGGGCGCTGTCCCTGCATCAGCTTGCACATGCCTAGGTGGATTGTGGGAGGGGGAGGGTTGCAGAGGCAAGAGCTGAACCCTTGAGGGGCTAGAATGGCTGCATCAGGGCCTAGGACCGGGCCAAGGAGCAGGACCTGGAGGAGCTGAAATGGAAGCCCCAGGACTGTCCTTCCAAGGCTGAAGCTGGCTGCCCGCTCCCCCCCCCGGCCCAGTCTCATACTCCCCCTTCTATTCCTCTGTCCCCCTCCCCCATTTTGCAGGGAGCTTCCGCCCTCCTGCCTCTAACTGGGGGCCGCAGCCTCCTCTGTAAACATCCCAAGCTGCTGCTGTGCCAGGGAGCCCCGAGGGGCGTGCCAGCTGACTGAAAGAGGCTTCTGAGCTTTCTCACTCTGTGTGCTCTGTCCCCCAGCCAGCCCCTCTCTCTGACTGCAGCTCGGTATCCAGGGCAGTTTTGCAGAGAAGACGCTGTAAATGAGGGTGAATCGTCAGAGCTGGGCCTGGCTGCGCGTTTCGCCTCCAGAGCCCAATTTCCCCCCAACTTCAATTTGGCACCAGGTGGAATTATGTCCGACAAAGCCAAGATCTGTCGGCCTCCAGGGTGCCTCTATTCTCCCGCACTTTCCTTAAGGGAGGGGGAGTTGATGGGAAGAGACTTCCCTTTGGTTTAGAGTGACCAGACAGCAAGTGTGAAAAATTGGGACGGGATGGGGGGGCGTGATAGGAGCCTATATAACAAAAAGACCCAAAAATCGGGACATCTGGTCACCCTACTTTGGTTTGGGAGCGTGGGTAGCGGCGGCTCCAGGCACCAGTGCTCCAAGCGCATGCCTGGGGCGGCAAGCCGCGGGGGGTGCCCTGCCAGTCCCTGCGAGGGCGGCAGTCAGGCAGCCTTCGGCGGCTTGCCTGCGGGAGGTCCGACGGTCCTGCGGCTTCGGCGGCAATTCGGCAGCGGGTACGCCGAAGCTGTGGGACCGGCAGACCTCCTGCAGGCATGCCACCGAATCCGCGGGACCAGGGACCTCCCGCAGGCATGCCGCCGAAGGCAGCCTGCCTGCCGTGCTTGGGGCAGCAAAAAAGCTAGAGCCACCCCTGAGCGTGGGCTTGTCTACATGGCAAGAAAGCCCAGAATCGTTAGTGTGCACCCCAGCCAATCTGCACTAACCCCCTGTGTGGACACTCTTACTCTGCACTAACAGCGCCTCAGTGTGCTTCAGCTTAGTATGTTTCCAAGGTGCCCAGTCAGTGTGTCCACATGAGGATCTAGCGCAAGGTAGCTATTGCGCTGTAAAATCACACCCTGGCTTAGTGCGCACTAGCTGCTCCATGCAGACAAGCCCTGAATATTGAGCCACTTGTATCTCTCAATTCCGAAGCAGCCTGCAGTGTTGAAGACACGTGTCTGGTAAACCGAAGTAAATATGGATTCCATGCAAAGATGCTACAGTAAAAGAGCACTTAAGTTTGCAGAGCAAAGCATTAAAAAATAAATCTGGGAATGTCCAAGTTCAGGTTTCCCGCACAACCATTATTTATTTGTATCCTCCTAGCGCCCCAGTCAAGGACCAGGAGCCAGGGCCGCATTGTGCCAGGCACAGTGCAAACACAGAATGAAAAGAGGGTCCCTGCCCCAAAGAACTTAGTCTAAGACAAGTGATTACAGATGGATACAGGCCAGCAGGGGAGCACAAGGAAACACTGAGACACAACTTGAACTTCACCCCTTTGGGTTTATGATGGGGTTTAATTACAGGATCTCATCCCGTCACCTCTACCGGACCCAGAGCTTGTTCAGTGTGCTGGCCGGATGGTGCACACTCTTGTAAGCCCTTTATAGCTTGGTGGAATCTTTCACTGGAACCCTAAAAGGCAAATGGGACCGTCTCCATCCTTGAACTGTCAGGTTTCTGCCCTTTCCCACTGAGAGATTAGCTGGGCTGCAGCAGCTTTATAACAGAAAACGCTCCCTGTGTTCAAAAATGGCTGAAGAAGTTTTGCCCAATCTTTATTTCAGTTCCCCTTCAGATACAGAGGAGACCTGGAGAGGTGCAGCCCCGTTATGTGGAAGTTGGACAACCTTATCATCAGCCGTAAGAGGCCTATTAGAATGGCAGTGTTTTGGCAACCTTCATGCTGGCCTTACCTAATGTGCTTCAGCTTGTAGTAATTGCAACCGCTCTGAAAGAATCCAGCCTCCAGGTCCCTTTTCTCTGTTTCTCATTATTGACCCGGCATTTAGCCTGCGTGGTTAGAACTGGCACTGATGTAGGTAACCCCAGAGCCGACACGGGCTGATGATTTCCTTTGCTTAGAACTTGCCTCTCCTCTTCTCTTTCAGGAAGGATACTTGTCAAACCCGAGAAGCTGGTGGGAAAACTACCCTCATGTTTTTCTCCCGTAAGCGCTCTGTTCTTCAGCTGACCGCTTCCTTCCTCTTTTTAGGTTAATGTGAGGACATGGCTTGGGAGTCAGTGCCATGTGAATAGGCAGCATTTACCTTGCTGTGTATTTTCAAAGCACTGTACAAAGGATCCCACAGCCCCGTCCCATGCTGGGATTGCCAGTAAACCCTGCTTTCTACAAAGGTCTTGGGGGACATTTGAAATCTTAATACAAATTCAGGGGGTGGCGGGGTGTGGGGGGGGCATTGTGTAATCAGGCGCTTCAGAGCATGCCTGCCCCGGTGGTCTGGGACTCGAGAGGCCTGGGTTCAGTTCCGAGCTCCCAATGACTTCGGGCAAGTCACTTAACTTCTCTGTGCCTCAGTTTCCCATCTGTAAAATGAGAGATGATAATTCTCCCCTCCTCATAGGGATGCTGTAATGGTGAATTTGGGAAGGTTTGTGAGGCTGGGGGAATAGATAAGTACCCAGACAGAAAGAGGGTGCTCCAGTCAGTGTATAGCCAATGTCTGGGAACCATGGGTTCAGAAATTCAGGGGTGATCTGTCTACTTATTAGGATGCTAATGGGGGCAGCAAAGTTGGGACTTGCCCAGCCAGTCAGCGGCAGAGCTGGGGTTAGAAGTTAGGAGGTTCCTGGCTCCCACTTCCATGCTAAATCCCCAGGAGGAGCTCAGTGGGGTTAGGGGCTGGATGCAGGAATCCCTGGGTGGAATTGGCTGGCCTGTGTTACGCAGGAGGTCAGCCTCGGAGGTGACCACAATGCTCCTCCTGGCCTTGAAATCTGTGACTCCACATTGTCCTGGGCCAGAAATCCTGGATTCCGTGAATGATTAAACCTTTATATTTGGCCCCTCCTTCCTGTGTGCGCACTCCCCTGAATGCTAGTGGGTAAACGACTCCTAGTGTAGGTGCAAAGCAGTAGGGAGTGGAGTGCTCGGTGGTGCCCCGTGCAGTGCACATGGAGTTCTAGCACCCGCAGGCCAAATCCAGAACGAGGCTGAGGCTGCCTGGCCTGCCAGCAGACCCCCAATGTTGCATTTTGGTTGCTGGCAAATTCTCCTCTCTCCTCCCTCCCATTCCTGGGGTGCCATAGCTATTAGCTCTTGAAAAGCAGTAACCGCTTGACTTCTTTGCCTAAGGCCCTAGGCCAGTGCCTTTTTCCCAGTCCTCAAATAAGAGATTAAAAAACTAGCCTGAACCTGACCTTCATCCCCCCGGGGAAGGGCTGCTCTCTGCAGGCTCTCTGCCTTGCCCGAGGCTTCCTCTTTCTGGGGAAAGTCAGCAGGGGGCATACCTCCTGCTGAGTTAATTGGCCTAGTAGATCAGGCAGTCTTCTCCCCCGGCTGGTTTGATTTCCAGGGGTCAGCTCAGGGGATGTGCTTTCTGCTCAGAGGAGTTCTCCCCCCAACCCACCCACCCAAAGGGGTGATGCCCCATCCCAGTCCATGGTGTAGGGAATATTTACACACCTTGAACTTCCAGTCTGGAGCTGGGTTTGCCCGCCAGGCTTTCACCTGTCCTGTCCTTGCATTTCAGGTTCCAGGTGAAGTTTTTCTACCTTTGCCAGCTGGCCTACTGGCTGCATGCACTGCCTGAGCTGTACTTCCAGAAGGTGCGCAAGGTGAGTGCTGGACAGGCCGCGCTGCAAGCTTTGCAAAGGCCGCCTCATCAGGTGGAACCACTGGCCAGTGGATTTGCAGTAGCTTTAAGAAGCAAAATACCAGACTGCGTGCGTGGAACGTGGGGAGAAGTGCAAGGCTGGGAAAGGCACGGCTGCTGCATGTTCCCCTTAGAATCATAGAATATCAGGGTTGGAAGGCACCTCAGGAGGTCATCTAGTCCAACCCCCTGCTCAAAGCAGGACCAATCCCCAGACCCCTAAATGGCCCCCTCAAGGATTGAGCTCACAACCCTGGGTTTAGCAGGCCAATGCTCAAACCATTGAGTTATCCCTCCCCCCGAGTCCTCAAGAGATGCCTTCTGAAGTTCTTGGGGGATATCACAGGGTGAAAGTGTCCTTCTGCCTGACCAGGGACATGAACCCTGGACCCTCAGATTAAAAGTCTGAGGTGCTACCAACTGAGCTAACCAGGCTGAACTTAGACTTACTGAGAGCGAGCTTGGAAGCTGCTTTCTTTCAGCTGGCATAGGTTCCCTTGTCACCACATTGCCTTTACACTTGGCCGATTAGGTGGAATCGTCATGGCCGCAGGATGACGTTGCATGTACCGCTGGGGAGCGCTCCACAAATCTTGGAGGAGCAGGGAGAGCCCCGGACTTACCTCCGTGCTTTGCTGCTCCATGGTGTGCACTGATTCAGATTTCCAAGTGAGGAAGGTTGAGCTTAATCTTAAACCTTTTTTCCTTTGCCAGGAGGAGATTCCTCGTCACCTGCGGTACATCAGCTTCTACCTGATGCATATAGCTGGAGCATACCTCTTAAAGTGAGTGTTGCGGAGTTTGTTTTATGGGCTTGCTAAGAATGATGGGAAAATCCTGGTTTCCGGAGGGCAAGTGCTCAGTACTTGCTGAGGGTTGGGCAGCCAAAATTGCTGGTCACTGTGAAAATCTTGGACATCACATTGAGACTTGAGTAAAGAAGGTGATTTAAGAACCAGCAATAAATGCAACAAATGATTAGCCTGTGGAACTCCCAGCTACAGTGTGTTACTGAAGCCAACAGTTTCCAAATAGGAGAATAGCTACTCTTAGGAATGAAGATATTGTCATGTCAGATCAGCTAGGACGGATGACATGCCGGCACCTAATACTTTCAGAGCATCATACAACGCAAACGTCTGCGAGCTGTCAGTCTCAGGCTGGAAGGTGTGATCCCCTTTTTGGTGTCAGGAAAGTCTTTCTCACAGGGTTGGTATTGCACAGTTAGACAAATGCATTCTAAAGGCTTCCATACACCCTCCTGTGAAGCACGCAGCCTGTGTGAGAGGAAGCAGGGTCCACTGACTAGTGCGCTGGACTACAATTCAAGAGACCTTGGCTTCTGTTCCCGGCTCTGCTACTGATCTGCTCAGTGATAGTGGGCTCTGTGCCTCGGTTTCCCCTTAAACTGTGTCATGTCTGTTTCGATTGTAACCTGTCTTGGGCAGGCATGTGTATGTCCAAGGCCCAGCATAACAGGGTCCTGATTTTGATTGAAGCATGTAGTCCGCAGAACAAACACAAAGTAGTGGTAATACGGTAGATGGCTGCCTGGAGTTCAGGTCTGTTCCAATATGGCAATGCCTGTGTCTCCTCTCTTTAGCCTAACCCGCCTGGGGCTCATCCTCTTGCTGCTGCAGTACTTCGCTGAATTCCTCTTCCACATGGCCCGTCTCTTCTACTTCACGGATGAGAACAACGAGAAGCTGTAAGTACGCCGAGCTGAGAGGAAAGATTCGCCCCTTGCCAGCCAGAGCTGTCATCAAATGGAGTCTAGGGGGAGCAGGGGAGTCTGTCTTCTTTCTCCAGAACGGATCCCCAAGATGTCTCTCACCTTGGGGCTGGTGGGAGAGGTCATGGGTGCTACAGTTCCTGACTAGCCTGTTGGGAGTGGGCTGGGAGATCTCCACAGCACAGGTACGAAGAGGGCACTCAACGCTGGATTAACTCCCAGGCTTGATTTGGTAGGTATAAGAACACCTGATCAGTGCAGCTTGTGAAGGGCCTGGGACCTTGTGTAGTCATGTACGGTGGTGCAAAGTTGGGGAGGTGGTGTGATCTAGTGGATAGAGCACGGGCCTGGGAATCAGGAGACCTGGGTTCTATCCCTGGCCCCGCTGCTGGCCTTCTGAGAGATATTGGGCCAGTCCCATCTTCTCCCTGTGCCTCTGTTTTACCCTCCCACTCTTTGTCTTGTCTATTTAAACTCGTCAAGACATACTCTCACTAGGTGTATGTGCAGAGCCCAGCGCAGTGGGGCCCTGATCTCCGTTAGGGCAGCAGGGTGCTTTCCTAACACAAAGAATAGTGAATATAAAAAGATACTGGAATGGTGGTGACGTTTGATGCTCCTGTTGCAGTGGGGTGCATGACCACACACAGCAAAGGGCATCAGAGAATCGGACTCGAAGTCCCCCGGGCCTGAAATTCACGAGTGCCAACTGTGGGCAAATGTGCCAGGAGACCCTAGGCGCATGCACCAAGTGGTGTGCTCTGGAGTGGAAGGTTGACAGCCCTGGGGACTTAAGCTCTGCCCATCCTGTTCAGCACGGGCACCAGCCAACCTGCCTCCCGCTTGACTTGGCAGGGCCATCTCACGCGTGGCCTGTTCAGGCAATGGCACCCGTGCTGAGGCTGCAGGAAGGGGGCCAGCTGTGACACTTGCATGGCACTCCTAGGCTGAAATCACCCCTCTTTCCCCCAAAGTTCAACCCTATTAAAAGTGGGTTCCCATGAACAACATGCTGCTCCTGGGCATCTTGAGGCCGTTTCCTGGCCTGAATGTCTGCGTCTCGCGACTCCTGCTGCCCTTCCGGGTAGGCTGGGTGTGCGCCCCCACTGCGAATGGAGGCTTGTCCCAGTGACGTTCCTGTTTGAATTCACACAGGTTTAATGCCTGGGCAGTGGTGTTCGTGGTCACCCGGCTCTTCACCCTCACCCTTTCTGTGCTGGTCATTGGCTTTGGGCTGGATCGGGTGGAGAACCAGGAGTTCAACATAGAGAAAGGAAACTTCAGCACTCTGTCTTCCAGGTAAGACATGGCCATGTGCTGCTCCATCGGCTTTCTGCCCGTAGGCTGAAATGCTCTGCCGGATTGCTTAACGCATGCTCACTTAGTCAGGAAGGGGACTGATGAAAGCAATAGGGATGCCCGGGTTCAGGTTCTCTACCCATCCACTCCCACTCAGCTCCTCAGGGCTGGGCCTGCAAAGTCAGAGGGGTCTGAAAAGCCAACTGTCTTCTGCTTGGAACGTCTCCCGTACCGAGGGTTCTGTAGATGCAGCATTACACTGGGCGAGCAAGCTGGATGCGAGGCTGTCTTGAGGCTCAGCAAAATTGTCTGTGAACCATAGTGTGAAGAAAAGAAAAATCCTTGTTTGCTCAGTAGAGGGACGAAGAGAGCCTCCAAGCAGATCTGTCATGTAAGGAGATGGCACTTACGTACAATCCCTTTTCTAGCCATAACTGCAATTTAAGGGACCTGGTCAACATGACTCCTACTTCTGTCTGGCCGTGTCTTCCCTCCTGTTGTCAGAGGAGCCTAGGGACGTGGCAGGCGTGATTGTACCTAAGCAAAAATTGACGTCAGGGCTGATACCTGGAACAGCTACTCCCTCCCCTCAGGTGTCCTCACAGGACTGGTCTGTGGGCTCTGGAGAGCACCAGCCTCTGTAGCATTGAGATCGCTGTGGTCTTTGGGTGTGAAGGGCCATTTACTAGCTGGCTTGGTTGGGTGTGGAAGTGGCTGCAGGGCCCCTGGCTTCAGCCTCTCTGCTCCGTTCTCAGCCTGACTCTTCTCTGCCCCCACCCCCAGGATGTTTGTGCTGTCCCTGGTGTGCCTCTTCCAGGCCTGGCTGATGTGGCACTTCATCCGGTTCCAGCTGCGGCGCTGGCGGGAGTACCGGAACGAGCAGAGCGCCAGGCAGAGAGCCGCCGCCCTCACCAAACAGCAGTCCAAGCCCGTCAAGAGGGAGTCGGGTAAGTGCTGGGGTGGGGTGCTGAGAGCAGGGCCGGGTGTGGCTGAGCTGGGGGCGAGAGGTTAAGGGCCCAGGCTGCTGTCGGGTCCCTTCCTCTGCTGCAGAGGGATCAGTAATGGCCAGGAGCCATCAGGGCCCCAGCTCTGTCCTAGGGTTGTCAACTTTCTGTTTGCAGACAACCGAACACCACTGCCCAGCCCTGCGGCTCCCTCCCTTCTCCAAGGCCCCACCCTCCATTCACTCCACCCCCCCTTCCTCCATCACTCGCTCTCCCCCACTCTCTCTCACTCGCTCATTTTCACCGGGCTGAGGCAGTGGGTTGGGCTGCAGGGGAGGTGAGGGCTCCAGCTGGGGCTGAGGACTCTGGGGTGGGGCCAGAAATGAGGGGTTGGAAGTGCGAGAGGGGGCCCAGGGATGGGGCACAGGTTGGGGCACAGGAGGGGTTTTGGTGTGCAGGCTCTGAGCAGCGCTTAACTCAGGTGGCTTCCAGGAAGCAGCTGGCATGTCCCTCCAGCTCCTAGGCACAGGGCAGAATCGCCCACGGGGGCTCAGTGCGCTGCCCTCATCTGCAGGTGCTGCCCCCGCAGCTCCCATTGGTCATGGTTCCCAGCCAATGGGAGCTGCGGAGCTGGTGCTCGGGGAGGGGGCAGCGTGCTGAGCCCCCGTGGCTGCCCTTGAGCTTAGGGGCCACAGGGACCTGGCCGTCGCTTCTGGGAGCTGTGCGGAGCCAGGGCAGGCAGGGAGCCTGCCTTAGTCCTGCTGTGCCACCGACTGGACTTTTAACAGCCCGGTCAGCAATGCTTACCGGAGCCACCAGGGTCCCTTTTCAAACAGGCGTTCTGGTCGAAAACCGGATGCCTGGCAACCCTACTCTGCCTGTCCAGCAGCGTAGTGCCCCGAAGGCTGTGCTGGGGCCTTGCTCAGGAGCGACAGTGTTCCATGAGGCAACCTGAGCCCGTGGGGTCTGGTGGCACCACAGCACAAGGTGGAAGGGCTGCAGGGTGCTGATGTCCCTCTGCAATCCTGCATGAGCCCAGGCCAGAGGAAGCTGAGGAGATGACCGTTCTTACCCCTGGCGCTAAGTGCTCGCCCCCTCTAGGCCAATGAGGCCCCAGTTGAGTGTCCCTGACTCACTGCGCTCCCCTGCCCCCAGGTTACCATGAAAACGGAGTGGTGAAAGCTGAGAACGGAACCTCCCCACGCACCAAGAAGCTCAAGTCTCCATAGAGCTGAAGGCTCCTCTGCCGGGGAGGAGGGCAAGAGACCAGGACTAAGCCCCAGCCCCTCCCTCGGCCTCCCAGGTGCTGAATGGCTTGGAAACGTCTCATCTTCCCAAGGTCTCTTCCCCCTTCCCCCCTCCCCAAACCATTTGCAATAAAACCAAAAAAACCTTGCTCCGTCACATGGCCTGCAGGAGCCAGACCCAAACCTCCCGTCCTCTCCTTCCTCTCAGTTTTATCGTCAATCAGCGTGCAATTCTCTCCCCCCGCCCCCCCCTTCTTGAGTGTTTTTTCTTCCTGTTGTGTTTTTGTTACAAATGCGCCATGGGATGGTTCCAAGCAAACAATTCCTCTTCTAAAGCAGGTTCTTTCCCTGCCCCTCTGGGCATTGCCCTGCGTCCTGGCCTTGGAGGGGCAGGCGGCTGCTTTAAGGTGCCCTGTGATCATGAGGGTAGAGGTTTGGGGAGCTGGGGGAGCCATGCCCTGTGTGCAGAGTGCCTCTCGGTATCAGGGTGGCGTCCATGGGTGGTGTTGCCGCTGCTGGAGTTCTTGGGTGACCTGCAGGGCAGCCTTGCCTCCAGCACGCCCAGCGGGATTGCAGAGGCGGGCCAGGTCTGGATTGGGCCTGTTGCATCAGGGCACAGGGAGGTGACCTCAGACGTGCTTTGCATCGTGCTGGAGCTCCGGCAAGTGGCATCCCTGGCAGGCTGCGGCCGGTTCTGCCCACCTCTCTCCCTCCCCTGGGTGCGGTGACAGGGCTCTGCCTCTGCCTTGCCATTCCTAGTGCCTTACTTGGGATGATGTCACCCAGGGAGTAGCTCAGGCCAAACTCAGTTGAGGATGTGTAAGCCCTGAGCCACACACCAGCAGGTCAGCCCTAGTCCCACACCTCGCTGCTCCTTCAGGCTGTGCCGCTTTACCTCACCCAAGGGCTGGCTTAATCCTGTGGCGCTGTGTTTGCGTAGTACTCGTGCTGCATGCAGGAGAGCCGATTCCCTGCCACTCAGTTTATCTGCCTTTCACCTCATACCTCACCGCTGCCCCTGCCATCCCAGGCCAGCTGTGCCCTCTCTGCTCTGGCTGCAGCTGCCAGCTTGTCTTTCCACTTCACGGGCCTCATATCTCCTGAGGGGATTGGTTAATCCAGGATCCAGCCCATGCCACCCTTCCTGGGCTGGGTGGGAATAGCAGAGAGCAGCCTGTGGGAGTGCCTCTCGCCCGATCCATGCCACCCTCCCCTCCCCAGCTGGTGGGTGGAATCATCTCAAATCTACCTCAGAGGCCGCCTCTTTCATACGACCACTCTCCCTCGACCCCTCGTTGGCTGCGTATGTTGGGAGGAGATGTGCGGGAATTGTTCGAGCACCCACTGATTCTGTCCACTGCCCTGTTCCGAATGGATGGAGCCGTCCCACTTTCAGGGCTCTTCCAGTGCCATGTGCTGGTCAAGACTGGCCAGGTTGCCCTGCAGCGGAGGGTATTTCTCTCTGAGGAAGGTCCCCGTAAGCCAGACTTTGCAGTGGGCATGTTTCAGTGCAGTGAGGTGACTTGGCGCTTCCCTTCTGCTTCGCTGGGGTGGGAGCTTCCCTCTCGGCAACACTGGCTCGGCTGCCCTTTCTGCTGCTGCCCAGATGGGTAGCATTTCCCTTTGGCTGAGCGTGGAGAGGGTGTCGCTGCTCCAGAAGGGGCAGGGAGAGAGGCAGCCAGGGGGTAGCAGAGGTGAAGGGTCATGGAATCACTTCTAATGCAGATTGGGATCCAGGGTTCTTCCTTCCTAGCTGGGGTGAGTGACATGGGCCAGAATAAACCAAACACGATGTTCCTGGCTTGTTTCATGCTCCTCCCCGTGGCCTTCCTTGCTGGAGGCGATTGTAACTCATGCTCTCCGGCCTTTTGTTTTTCGGGGTGGTGAGAGGAACTGGCTGGCTGTGCTGCTTTCACAGATTTTGAGTCCTCTCCACACCTGTTCTCTCCCCAGCACGGGCAGGGGCTGCCAGTGGGGGAGACAGAATACCTCGGAGCCTGAATGCAGCTGATCAGATTCCATTCCTTCCCCCATCCCCCAGGAGCTTTGAATGTCAAAGGAGGGCCACTAGCTGGCATCTCCCAGGGATCTTCCTCCCGCTCCCCCAGTATCTTGGAGCAGAGCACCTGGAAACACCGTGTGACTGTCCCTCCTTAGCCCGGGCTGGACAGATACTAGCAAAGCCAGCACTTGGGCAGAGGGAGCTCTATTGGAGGGGCAGAGGAACCGGGCGGGAAAGGAATGTTACACCAGCGGGAGAGCGAGCTGGGCCACAAGCTTTTGGCCCCTGGGCCTAGCACAGTTCACCCTTCCATCCCTCTCCCCTTTCTCGTCCGCTCCCAGCCGGGAGGGGGTCGCTGAGCCCTGCAGGGAGTGACTGCTCCCCAGATCTCTCCAGAGCCGGCACCGGCCTTGCTCCTCTGACGTCAGCAGAGGAGCTGAGCCGCCTGGTTAAAAGGTGGCTTGTTGTCAGATCCAAATAAACCAGGCTGCTGAATGATTCCTTCCCCCAGTCTGCCCTGCTCCAGGCAGCCTTTCCTCTGGCACAAGCCTGCGAGGCTGTAAAGTAGCTCATTGTTCTCTATATACCAAGTGCCTTACATTGCGGTATAGTCGGTACCCTCTTGCCTATGCGCTGCCTCAAGAGCTCCGTGCCCCCAGGCTCTGTGTATATGTCTGATGTGTGTGTTCCATATTTAGTCACTGGGGAAAGGGACAGTTCACGCTGGAAGTAGCCCCTCGTTTTCTATGCCTTTTCGATTTGTAGAATGGTTCCTTCCTCGGTGGCTAAAATCCCCTTCCCTTTTTCTGCCTAGATGGGTCGATGCCCACTGGCTGCCATTTCAGAGGCATCGCTGGGGTCATTTGTGGCCGGAGGGGCTCCCATCCCATCCCTCCCAACACAGAAACTCTTACTCCTCTCTGCTCCAGTGCACATACCGTCCCTGGCTCTGCAGTCACTGGTGCAGCTCTCCTTGCATTTCCTAGCAAACCAAAACTTCCCCTCTATCCTGGAGAACCTCGTCCTGGATGGATTCTTTTCTTTTCCAGTCTCTAGTGTTAACTCTTTCATCGACCAGTCCACATACAAAGGTGCAGAGAGCCGGGGGAAGGGGAGACCCACTTCTCGAATGGGTTCTCTTCTTGGGCCCCATCCCACAAAGTGTTGCGCGTCTTCTGCAACAGTTTGAGTGCCCCCATCTGCTAGAAGGCTGAGGGTACTCAGGATCATGCAGAATTGGGACCTGGGTCCCGGATTCAGTGTTATAGCACCGCTACTCCACTCCCTCCTGGGTTGTGCAATAACCCACCTGGATCGTGGTCACTCCTGCAGTGCTTGCATCCGTCACCAAACCCTGGGAGGGGAGGATCCCTGAGATGAGGTCCAATTGTGATAATTGCATGGAGCACAGAACGCCTCCTCACCCGGGCTTTGGCAAAGTCTCTTAAGAACCAGCAGTTCTTCTCCCTCTCTCCTTGTCCCAGATGGATCTTAGAGGGGTGGATGTTGGGGAGAATGTAGCATTTTGCAGATCAGTATCTTTTTTTTAAAAAAAGTTTGTTGAATGAATCTTCCTTGCTCAACGGGGCATTCACGTTTGTATTTTTGTAGGATGACTTTTCCCTGCCTGTCATGCACAGATGTAGCGAATAAGGGATGGGGTTCTCCCTGGTTTTTCTATTAAGTGGAGGATGGTCTCTTTTCAGAACTAGTCATGAAATCTGTAGATGGGTGGTCTTCATTCCAGTGGATTGGAGTTACAGCTACACCTGACTATGGAGTCCAGTAGTTGGGAGCTGTAGCTACACCTGACTTTTCTCTACAGCAGAGGGCGTCTACAGCTGTCTTGACTGTACAGCTAGAGCAGCTCTTTTTTGTGACCTTTGAGTGCGTAACACATGGCTCGAGTTGGCCGTCTTTCTATTGACGCTATAAACTGGGTCACTCATCTCCCTATGTCATGTGTACTTCTTGCCAGAGGGAGGGATGGACACAAGAGGCCAAGTTTGGGTGGGTGCTTGTATCTCTTTTTAACCCGTTTAATTCCGCGGACCAAACTTCAACAAAGAAACTCAAGGAAAATTCTGTTCTTCCATATTTATGCTTTAGTGCAAACGTTCTCTTCCTTTGTTGTGTATTTTAATTTGGTTTGGTTTGGGGGGGGGGGGGGGGTTGGTTTTTTTGGATAACCGTTTCAACTCTCCTCCCCCACCACCACATGTTTTTATTCTTCCCCTGTCATTTAAAAAATAAAAACCAATTTTGTACGGAATTTTTTTTTTTTTTGTTAAATGGCTTTTGTGAGCAAACTCTCAACAAAGATATTTTCTGAAATAATAAAAGGCATAGAATCATCAACTGGTGCTTAACACTGGTGTGTGTGTTTCCTCAATTCGCTAATACCTCATTGCTATGACTAGCTATTCTAGTGTTCCCAAAGCATGACGGGACAGACCCACCAGGTATGGCAGAGAGAGGTGCCATCTGCTCCATTTGGTGTTTGACCTTCTGTCTTTGTCATAGACAACACATCTGCCGGTGGCTGGCTCTTTCCATGGCTAGGACCCGTTCCATGGTTTGGGTGCAGGCAGCATGTAGGGGAAGTGATTCCTGCCCAACATGCTGAGAAAGCAAGTGGATTCTGAAGGGTGATTCTATGGCTCAATGCACCAGTGGCCTGTGCTAAGGGCCACTGACGTCCATGGAAAGACTCACAGTGATTACGACAGGCTGGGGATCGGGCTGCAGCTCTGGGCCTACGGGTGAGGAGGGCTGGAAGCAGGTTCTAGAAGCTGAGGAGGAGCGGAGATGGCCCGGTGGTGGCCGTATCGATGCTCTGAATAAAGAACGACACGGATCGCCCCAGAAGGCGAGAGCGTAACCTAGAGGGTGGGATCCGGTGTGTGGCTGAGCCCCGTGTGTGGTTGTGTGTTGGAATTCTCAAGTATCTGAGAGGGAATGGGAACCCCTGCTCCCCCCACCCCGAAAAAGGGACGGATAAAATAAGCATTTTGCTCAGAAAGGGTGGCTAATGGTGGAGACCTGCACGGTCTCGGTCCTAGTTGCTCCTCACTGGCGCAGTTGGCTGGCTGACCTACGGCACAATGGGGGTGGGTGGGTCTGTGGCAGCTTTCTTCATGTAAGGGGGAGCGACCAGACTTTTTAAACGGTGAGAGTGCTATAAACTCACCCCAACCATGTCTCTCTCGTCACTGTAGGGAAACAGAACTGTCCAGGCAATAGCATCACTTCCTTATGGGACCAGCATTTCTAGTAGGGCAAATAAAGTGAGAGACTATCCAGTGTGTGTGGGGCGGGGGTGGTGGGAGAATATGTATCTATATCCATTCTCCATAATCTGGGGCACGTTATTTAACCTGCTCTGAATCTCAGTTCCCCCATGTGTTAAAATGGGGATAACAATCCCTCCTTTCTCCCATTACTTCAGGTATGGCGGGAAGAGTCTCCTGCAGAATCTAGCCCAGCAGGGCTGTTGCCAGGGGCCTGCCTCTACGGGAATTGCTGTCAAGAACCGCACAAGAGCGCAGCATTAAATTCTGTTTTAAGCCAGCCGAATGCTATTTATTTGATCTTTTGCTTTAATCCTCAGCTATTCAGGCTACTTGGTGGGTGTATTTACAGCAGACACACGTATCTGCCATTTCGCAGCAGACATGGCTGCCGGGGTTCGGATACCATAGCACCTCACACAATGGGGCCCTGCTCCATGGCTGGGGCCTTTAGGCCCTTCTGCAGCAACATCATAAATTGAAATGGTGCCCAGTTGCTTTTTGCTTCTCGGGAGATTGTCAGTCCTCCTCGGGCAGTCTGTATGAAAGGCCTGGAGCTCTCAATCCATCCAGTCCACCCCGTCCCGCCTCAGAGCCCAGGAAGAGACAACCTGGAACGATGTGGAGTCATTTCTTTAATACAAATGAAGCTTTTTCTACAGGCTCTGCTTGCAGGCCCCGCATTTGGGACATTGAGCTCAGTGAGGGAGGAAGGTAAGTGGGGCAGAGATGAGGTGACCTGGTGCCGAAGGGCCGAGCAGCGCTCAATGAAGCGACGGGGGGGGGGGGGGTGGAGTCTAGAGGTACAACCTTTGAATATGTGTCATTTCAGCTGGGACAGTTGGCTGGGTTGTGTCTCCCCTTCTGGGGGCTACTCAGCAGGAAAACGCTCTGATGAAGTCATGGTAACTGATCTGGTTCTCCCCATGCGAACACAGGCTGATCAGCTGGAAAAGAAACAGCAGCGTGAGGACAGGGGAGAAGTACAGTCACGTTTCCCTAAACGACAACTCCAGTGAGAAGTTCCTGTGGGCCAGGGCAAAGGGCCCTGTTCTTCCCTGTAGGGAGCAGCCCACCTACAGGAGAGGAAAACTTTCCCTTATAATAAATAGCCCCATTCACTCGGGAGTTACCTGCCCCATGAAGTTTCAACCCAGCTTCCTCCTCATTCTAGCAGGAAGAAGCCAAATGTTCCCCGCCCTTCACCTACAGACCTTGGGGGATCCACAGGAAGTGAGAGGGACCCACATGGGTGCCCCTTGCCTCTGCTGTCCAGACACAGAAGATCTCACTGACACAGCTCCTAAGGAACCGTTTCCCTGTGGCAGCAGCTCCCAGCCCCTGCCTAAAGGCAGCGGAGGGAACAGCATATATGAACTGGCACTGGCTGTATTACCATCCCTGGGGGCTTTTAGGGGGTGGGTAGAGTTTTTAATGGGGTAGCTAGTGTCTCCTCTTTAACACCATGGGATTATCATAACTCCTTTGAAAGATTTACTCACCCTTCGTCACCTTGTTTTCATGGTCATTTGCATAGCTGGTTAATTCTTTTCTGGTTTGGAGGTAAGCATTAGCTGCTGCTTGGTGTCTATTTTTAGCTTGCGGCTCTGTTATCTAGACTAGGGCTCTAGGCACCTTATGTATTATACAGCTAGACTGGAGGGGCGGTCCTGGGGCTAAGGCCCTGGCTTGGGACTCAAAGCTGGGTTCAATTCCTGGCCTTGGCCAGGGTGACCTAGGGCACGTTATTTAATCTGCTCTGAATCTCAGTTCCCCCATGTATTAGAATGGGGATAACAATCCCTCCTTTCTCCCATTATTTGGGGTATGGCGGGAAGAATCTCCCGCAGAATCTAGCACAGCAGGGCCCTGGTGATGAAATAACCTTGTTGCCTTTACTATAATACCAAAGAAACAAGTCTAGCTCGAATGCATTGTTTGATCCCTTGGCTACCATCCAATCTAATTTTTGCTAATTTTATTAAGAAAACGGGGGACATAGTCCCCAGGTTTTATACATTTCTTCAGCCGGAGAAGTTTTCTGCACTTGTATCTCTAACAGACGCAGCAGTTAAGTTAACATTTGTGTTCAACTATGTTTGGTTTCTTCCCTCACACGCATGGTTCTCGGTCCTGTTTCCTGCAAGGCAGCCTGTGATCTCTGCTGGCTTCTGCTCACGGCCCCGTAGCTGTATTGCCGTTTACCCTTATTCGCTAAGCCCATAAGGTTATCCGGCCTTAGCGGAGGCCTGAGGTGGAGATGGCGGAGATGCCACGCAGGCTTGGGCTTACTGTACCTTCTTGGCAATTCAACTGGGATGCGGTCTGCAAAGGCAATTGGTGATCAGAAGCTGCCCTGCAGGAGGAATGACTGTGGTGCCCATGACAACATACCCGTAGAGGAAGGCTAAATACTTGGCTTCCAGTGCTATCTTGGGGCCTATATGGGATTGGATTTCCCCCTTCTGTTTAACACGCACTGGGGTGAAGTGGTTTTCACCTCAGGGTTTGAAGGAATTTCTCCCACCTCTTCCTAGCCCCACTGCCAGACTGTATGTGTGGGTCTCCTCCGCCTCTGGGGCCCTGAGCAGAGATGCTCCGGGGGAGGAGGGGGGGAAAGCACACAGTCTAGTTCATGGCATTGCCCGGGGATGGGGCACTGCCAGCAGTTGGGCTTGGCTGCCTTCTGTAAATGGAGAGGGAAGCTCCTTTGGAAGAGCCGAGACAAGTAAGAGAGGACAGTGTTGTGTGCAATATTACGTGGCTCCCAGGTCAACGTTTCAGCTAAAAGCCAAACTCCGCACACACTGACCGCACTGCCTCCTGACCTTGTTAACCAGGGCGTTGCTGACCGGCAGGTTGAAGCGGTTGCAGAGGGCAAAGAACTCTTCTTTGTCGAGGAATCCGGAGCCATCCTTGTCGTGGTGAAGGAACGCCTCCCGCATGCTGCTGTTACTCAAGTAGTTATGGTGCTTCAGCTGCTCCTGAACCTGCTTCACTACCTCTTCCAGTTCCTGCCTGCCCATCCCCGCTGCTGACTGGCTGTGGAGGAAGGAAGGAAATGACTGCATGCAGAAGTCACGCTTAACACATCTGAGCTAAGTCCTTCTCTCGTGTTCCACCAACTAAAATCTCTGGTGGCCAGCTGTTCTTCCTCGGACTTACGACACAATTGGTTCCTGAACATCTCGTCTTAAGTCAAAAACATCGTAACTCTAATTTCCCATAGGAACAATGTTGGATCGAGAGTTGTAAAGTCAAAACAGGCGTCATAAAGTCGAAATACAATGACAATTTATAAACATAAGTGCCATTCGTTGTAACTCTAATGTCGTAAAGTCAAGGACTGCCTGTAGTAGGCTTCCAAAGACATGCTCCTTTGAATAACAAGGTCACCTGCTTGGTGGACAGGACATTGGGTGGAAGGCAGGGGCCAAGAGGCCTCTGCCCAGCTCTGCCCCTTCCCCCTGTGCCTCTGTTTCTCTTCTCTCCTTTTGTCTGTCTTGTCTATTTAGAGCGTAAGCTCTTTGGAGCAGGGACTGTCTCCTTCTGTGTGTTCATATAGTGCCAAGTGGCCCCATTCTCAGCTGGAGCCTCTATGCACTGCCATAAAAATCAGTGGCTGGAGCCCACAACAGCTCGGCGTTCTGGCGTGGTCTCCCAAGGAATGGGATGGAAGCCCTAGCCTCAGGGAGAGGAGAAGGGAGGTCATATAAAATAAGGCTGGACCCTAGACAATAGGGTACGTCCTATCCTTTACAGGCCAAGGAATGGCCCAAATGACCTAATAGCAATGGTAAGAGAACTCTCAGTTAGGCTTCTCTTAGCCAAAGTGCAACAAGAGGCTGGTGCTGGTACTGTGAGCAGCACTATTACCGAGCGCTGCCGTCCTCCACAGGAGGAGGACTACTTAACTGCTCCTAAGCAGTGCTGAAGAGAAATCTTTGCTACAGGCCTCAGGGCGGAGCCAATGCTCTCTAAGGGAGATTTCAGGCTCCTGGGCTGTGGCAGCCCCAGCTCAGCAGTTCTTATATAAGCAGCCTTATTGGTACGTTGCATACACTGAAATCCTTCTCTCTGTGCCCAAGGAGGGGTTCCCAGAGTGGAACAATCAGCTGATCAGTCATTAGCCAGCAGTCCCAGAGTAACAGGCTAGAGCGTGGTCCCACTGGTTAATGACGCTCTACGCAACGTGGCACTAGAACGCACAGCACTAGAGGAGCTACTGCAAATAAATAATAGCCATTTGACCAGCTAAAAGCTGAATGACTTCTTAACCCCAGCGCTCCCTGCCTCTCGGGTGCTCGCCATTGGAACCTACCTCTCAGCTGCCTGCACGGCCATTCGTCGAGGGGCAAAGTGATCCCGCAGAGACTGCAGCGTTGTTGCAGGGAAACTCTCGGCGTTGCTTTCCATGTAATTCAAGACGTACTCGTCCGCATCGGTGATGATAAACCTGTGGCCAAACACTGGGCAAGCGACAGCAAACCAAGTGTTACTCCCGTGTATGGGCGAGTCATGTTACTGACACAGGAGAAGACAAGGTCCCTGCCCTGAGGAACTTGCAATGTCAGAGCCAAATCAGAGCAGTTCACGCAGTTTTTTATTGTCTTGGTGTAGGAAAAGATCTCCATGAATTCCATGGGCGTTTTTTGCCTATGTCAGGAGCCACTGAGTAAAGGCCTCGGGATTGGGCCCAGAGGAATTATGCATTTAACACTGTCTATTTTCTAACATGCTTCAGGATCAGGGTTATTTTCCTCCATGCATGAACTGATGACCTAGGCTACTGGATTTCATCTAGCCCAGTGCTCCAGCATTAACACTTAGAATGCTGGCATACCCCAGAACACCAGCTGCACACATGCTCTGGAAAATTTAGTGCTCTCTCTCTATATATATGAGAGGACCAGCTAAATGAATGGAACTACACCATTTTCCCACCATCTGCTGCATTTTACACTTGATCCAGAACTAACAGTTTGTAGGCAGAGGATGTTGTGTGCAATATCTGTTCAAAAAGGAAGGGCTTGTTTACACTTACCGGGGGATTGACATGCGGCGATCGATGCATCAGCAGTTGATTTAGCGGGTCTAGTGAAGACCCGCTAAATCGACCACCGATCACTCTCCCATCGACTCCTGTACTCCACCTGAACGAGAAGCGCAAGGAGAGTCGACGGGAGAGCGTCTCCCGTCGACATCATGTAGTGTGGACCCCGCGGTAAGTAGATCTAAGTACGTCGACTTCAGCTACGTTATTCACGTAGCTGAAGTCGCATAACTTAGATTGATCTCCCCCTGTAGTGCATCAGAAAACTCATTTAAAACAACGAGCCTGCTCTAAAGAATAGATGCTCTAATGGCTCCATCGAGCCAGTTCCAGATCTACCTTCAACCGTGGCACCGATGGTGAGGTCCGCTGGCTCATAGTAAACAGGGTTATCTGTAGTGGAGCCTGGCTTGGGGACTTTGGTCTTTCCTAAGTATTTGCCTCCAATGATGCCTGAATTGCGGACAGGCGGCTCATAGATGCTGATCATGTCAGTGGAGAGGAAATAGGAGAGGATGAACTGGCGCTTTCTCTCCTCAGGGTTTGGCGATTCCTAGAGAAGAGAAGGACCGGAGTGGGTTGTGTGGTCAGGAAACACATATTTGGACATTCAAAGCTAGCTGCTTTTCTTGGATACTCACAGATTACTCCTATACACCCCCAAGCAGCCAAGGACCGAACCTGGAGCTTTCATTTTTACACCTGTCTAAACACCTACAGCACTTTGTTCGAGCCCCTGCCTAAAGAAGGCAAGAGGAGTAACCAGCCTGCTGCACTGTAATAAAACCACAGACTACGTTCAACGTCGGGATATCAGTGGCTCATTGGACTACTCCCAGCTCAAGGTACTGCTCCGCATGCCTAACTGTGGCAGAATCTGGTCCACTCATTACGTCCACATGCTCAGCACTCCAGGAGCAAGGCGTATCCCGTATGAAGTGATTCATCACGCAAAGAAGGATTAGCTGTAGAATTAAAGTCTGTACCACCGTGAGGTCTGGACAGATCCCAGCTCCTAACCACAAGACGGAACCCTCTGAGCACGCCACTGGATTTATGTGGTTAGATTAAAATTAGCTTTGATCTGAGCACTAAACTATGGCCTTCAGGAACAAATACAGCCAACGAGAGAGAACAGCCATGGCATCCCCCTTAGAATTTGGGAGGGGCAGACGTCAGCTGACCCAAGGGTAGCATAGGAACTACTGCTACAGCGCAGAGGCCATGCACATTGCGGCCCAAAAGCTGCTTCTGTGTGAAGAGCACAGCTCTCAGCTGGGCTCCCTCACCAGCTTCCAAGCCTGCAAACCGCTGGACAGTCCTGATGTAACGGACCACAGCTGGCTTCTGAAGCTGGGATTAGCCCTGGGGAGGAGGGGGCAGTGTGCACAGGTGCTGGCAGGTGTTACTGGAAGAAGATGATGTAACGTGGCATGGACGTGGGGGGTGAGGATGGATGAAAGTCAGGTTCAGGCGGCAATACTGCTCATCTGAGCATTGATCCAACACCTACTGAAGTCAAGGGGAGTCTTTCCATTGACTTCAATGGGGGAGTGGTGTAGGCCCATGTAGTATTGTCTGGTCCTGCTTTTATTCTGCCTTTATTACTGCTTGTCCTAAAGGCCATACTGGAACACGTGACCATCCTCAAGCAGAGGGCTGTTCTCTGGTGGCTGCTGGAGACCTTTCTTGTAGCATTAACATAGGACAGCACTTGGAGGCAGCTAACCGAGAACACACCTCTCCCCCAACCCTTCTGATTTGGAGAGTGTAACCAGGTAGCGCTTACTCGTGGACCAAGCTCTCACCAGTGCAACCTGATAGCGCAGCACCTTGTGGTCATTCTCTAGCATCTTAATAAAGTTTTTCCTGGGAGGCTGCGGCAGTAGGGAGAAGCAGTTCTGCAGGGAGTCTTCCAGGAAGCCGTAACCATTGTAGGGAGGAATGATCTGCACACAGAAGAGACAGGAGGCACACGTGGTGACAACTAACAAAAAGACAAGGGTCAGGAAGCAGCTCCGGGCAACCGTTCTCTGCAGCGAGAATTGTGCCAGTGCTGAATACCTTCCCCACGGGCAGTGCCGTTTTCCCCAAAGCTGTGCCATGATACCCTGGACTGTACAGCCAGGCAGCATGGGCCAGGGCCTCAGCTGCTGTAAATCAGCAGGGCTCCCATGACTTCAGTTACAGCAGCTGGCCCTATGTTTTACGTGCTCTGGAAGAACAAGTCCGAGTTTAAGGCCAGAGGGACCAGCAGGTCATCCAGTCTGACCTCTTATCTCCACTCAGCCACCCCCTCCCCAAGCCAACAACCAGCATTAGATCAAAGTATACCAGCCCGCAATGGGCCAGGCAGAGAGGTGCACCAATCCCCAGAAGCCCCTGCAATGGCAGGGGAAGTGATGGCATTGCAGGGTTTCAGGTGTATTGTCTCTGACTCCAGATCGAATGTGCTCCAGCCAAACGAGGTTTGTTTTCCTAGTTCCAAACCCGGCCAATTCAGCCTCAAGCTCGAGGCTCAAGCTGGGTTCTTTCCTTTCCAAGCAACCCTATGAGCTGTAACTGATTGAAGCCAACTAGCCCATTCTGCTGACAATACAGATCCTGTGACTTAAGCGCCTAAATCACTTAGGCCCAATGGGAGTTAGGAGACTAACTATCTTTGAGGATCTGGGCATTAGGCATCTTGGCAAATGTTACCTATAACATTTGCTCTGTACTATGGCAGCCGCCCCGAGAGCAGAGAACATGGCCAAACTAACTGACTCACCAACTCAACCTGATCACCCCGCTGGTTGGAGGTAACCAAGCTACGCAGATGTTTCCTACATGAGCTGTGATGTTAAGCCTTTCCCCGCTGCTGGAATGGTATCCCAATGAAAGTACTAGCCGCTCTGGAATTGCCATAGTGGAACAGATCAATGTCCATCTACTCCTGTATCCTCTCCCTACGACGGGCCAGTACTGGACATTCCTGAGAGAGACATGGGCCCCTTCGGCAATAATGTGCCTACCTGTGTGCAAGTGTACAGTGTACAGGGGCGGCAGTTGTCTCCTTAGCCCAGCTGCTCACCCAACCCCCTGAATCATGGTGATAGCCCCTGTACTTAACCGTGTGTACTTTCTTTGGCCAAAAGCATGAGTTATTTGTTCAGTTTTCATGGAGTCTTTAGTAGGACTCTACTCGCATAGAAATGTAGGGCTGGAGGGGACCTCGAGTCCAAACCCTAGCACCGAGGCAGGACCAAGGAAACTAGACCATCCCTGACAAGCATTTATCCAACCTGTTCTGAAAAACCTCCAGCGCTGGGGACATGTGAATAACTGCTGCTCTGTGAGTCAGGGCTGCAAATTTGGCTCTGAGTAAGGTCCTGTGGCGACTTATTCATATCAACATCTAATGAGGCTTATTGGTTTTTAAATCTCAGTACTCAAAGCAAATTCCACAAGTCCACTCAACACTGTGGGAAAGGCACAAGGTGCATTCCAGAGCATTAGCAGATGTTTTGTCTTCCAGCCGCTGTGTCATTCAGCAATGGAATTAACCTTAGAAGTAGAGAGCTATCCAGTACTTCACTACTATATAGGTTAAGACTCACAGCCCTGCTGCCCTGGCTGACACACACCAGTCTTTCCCTCTGGCTTCCCCTTAATCTGACCCCCTTGAGCAACACAACACCATTAGGAGAAAGTATTTCTAAAAGGCTTACGATAACGGCACTGAGGAGTCCTAAGGGTCTTTGCCTTGTACAGACTGATGGGTTTCTTTCCCGCCCCCTGTGAATTTTCTCCCAGTACCTGTGGCACTTCCTCTGGTGGCTTCTTCTTTACATCCACCGGCTGGAAGTCAGTGATGCCAAACTTCTCGTAATAGAACTGTCTTGTGAACTCATCACAGTCGTAGATGAAGAAGCTGCGCCCTAGGAGGGTGATGGGCTTGCCAACGGCAAAATCTTTAACAGTGTACCACTCCAGCACCTCCTGATTGGAGATCTCCAGCACGCAGCGGGGGAAGGTTTCTGGGGAAGATCAGGGGTAGAAAAGGCAGCTCAGTGAGCTAGACGTAGTCTTTATTACCGCATACAAAGCAAGAGACGAGAAAAGCCTGTCTGTATGTGACAGGTATAAACAGCTTCAGTGGGCCAGTGGTGGAATGCTGGAGATGTCACACTTGCTTTGGCAAATCGGCAGCAAAAGGTTAAATGTTTTAAAACCAATAGACTGTTTCTGTTGGAAAGAAATTGTAAACTCAGGAAAGGTTTCTGGGATTAATTACATAGGCAGTATATTTATGAGACACGCAGATGTCCACCCATTTATGCTCACGTACACACACACACACACTCTCTCTCTCTCTCTCTCTCTCTCTCTCTCTCTTCCGGCTAACAGAAAACGGGTAAAGCCCCAAGCACAGACTCTTACTCATCTTGTCCACAAAGCTTTTGGGCAAGCGCTGGCGTCTGATCAGCACCGGGAAAGGGTCTCTGCCATCGTTGCGTTCGTGGAGTTCCCGAACCTCCACCGTGTCGTCAGCCAGGTAGAAATGGATGATGAAAGGCCGGTTCTCGCCAAACATGTTCTCGGTGTCGTCCCATATGGCGTAGAAGCGAAGGACCTGCAGGTGGTGGAGAGCCAAGCAAGGCCATGAACCCAACATGAAACTAAAACATGCCCTGTCCGGATTAGGCTGGTGTGATTTGAGGGCTGTGGATCAGAAGGATCGTGCCCAGAGCACAGGGATGTCAGTCTGCCTGTGTTAAGCACTGGTGAGACTGGCCTTGCAATCCTGCACTGATTTATGGGCTCTGGTCAGCAAAGTCATTGAGGGAGGCAGTTCAGAGAAGAGAAGCAGAAATGATTCAGCAGCAGGAGGGTTTTGACTAAGAGAACCAAACAAAACTAACTGGGCTAGGCAGCAGCTGAGGGGAGAGAAGACCCATCTACAAATATCTGAAACACCACGGAGGGACAGGAATTATTCAGGGTAGTTCAGGGGACAGGAGGGGGAAGAAAGTGATCGAAGGAAATACTGGGGAAAATGTCCTAGCACTGAAATGTATCAGTTCCCAAGGGCAGCGCTTGGACATTGATAACTAGGCTGGACAACACACTAGAGAATAACAATCTAGCACTGGCCCCATGAGCTGGACTAGCTGATCCAACAAGGCTCGAACTGTGACCACTTCATGACAGAACTTCCTTCCAGCCCAGATCACAGGGAGACACGGGTGGCAGGCATCTTGCTCTCAACCATCAGGCTGCCTAAACACCATAGCTACTCTCGGGTGGGGTTGTGGTTTATTTGCCTCAGAGGTCAAAATCATCACACAGCAATGGATGTTTGCAATGCAACGTCATTACCCACTGAGGTAGCAGGTAGCTGCAGAGCTGGATTATAATGTCCCTTTCATGACAGATGTGAAATCAGGAGTCTTCAGATGCCAAACAGTCAATGCCTCTGACGCACTCGGGCCAGTGGTTGGTTACCCTACCTGGACATAAGGCTTTCTGGAGCAAGAAAGAGAGAGAGAGAGGAGGATCTAGAGTGTGGGCTGAGCTGTTCTGAAGGAGGAACTCTAGAAGCAGCCAAGCCTGGGGAGAAGGTAAGAGCTGAACTTTGTATTCTCTTTTTATTGATTTCTTTATTGACAAAGCCAGACACCCAGAGAAGTAGGATGTGTTTGGCCTCTGCACAATGTATGGACTGCGTTTGCAGAGCTGCCTGGGGGAGGCACCTGCTCACGGACACCCACAAGAGTCACATATAAGTACCACTCTGAATCACAGACACACACAGGGAATGACCCACCCCAAGGAAAGGCACCTGCATCCCACTCACCTGCTTGTCAAAGGTCAGAAACTGTTTGAGCTGGTCAAAGCTCGACGGCGTGACGTACATGCGCATGGGCATCTTCCGGAGCTCCGTGTACGGGTCGAAAATCATTTTCTCAGGAGGGTTCAGTTCAATTCCTTGGCTCTCCAGAAATACCTAGGGAAAGTGTCTGGGCCATTAATGCTGCGATGGGCTCTTAGGGTCAGGAGGCAAGGAAAGCTCTGGGCTGGGTTTGGGAGGGTATCAGCAAGAGCCTGTAAGCTCACTGTTTGCAGTTGCACCTAGAGGCCCCAATCCCAATATGCTAGGTGCTGTACAATAATCATAGACTCGTCGGCTTTAAGGTCAGAAGGGATCATTGTGATCATATCATCATTCATAAAGGTTTTTAACTGTCAGTTGCCTCTTTGTTTCCACGGACCTTTCAGACCTCATTGCAAGCCAGATCTTGAAGTCCTGCCTCAGGTTAGACTCGGGCAAACCTCCCATTGGCTTCACTCCTGGGAGTTTTGCCGGAGTAAAGACTGAAGGAGGACTTCAGGTCTTGTCCCTTTATGTTTCTATTACAAATCGAGAGGGCAAGTCTCTCATTTTGGTTTAATTTGCGATGCTCCTGGAAGGCGCCAGCTCTGGAAAACAGAGCCCTATTTCTACGCTCGCAGCACTCACCCGAGAGAGCCACTGAAGCTAGTGGGACTGCTCGCCTGCCTATGTCACCAAGATTTGGCCCAGAACACAGGCAGCTTGGGAAGCAGCAGCACAAGCTTCCCCACCAGGGAACTGGCCCCTGAGTTGGAGAGATCACCACCAGGGCTGAGAAGGAAGGGTCAGGCTGCATGGCTTAGTAGTTCTGGCCTTCAGGATGCCAATTTATGCTAAATGTAGTGGCAGGTTTGAGTTGCAGACACTTTGAAATGGGAACTGGACGACATCATCAACTCATTTTACATAAGCCACCAAACGACCCTAGAGTCATATCAGGGACTGGATCTACAGCTGGTGTAAACAGGCATAACTCCACTGACTCCAATGGTCACTCAGTTCCAGTTTGCACCAGCTCTATAAAAGAGATCAGTCTACATCACAGGTTCTCAATGTGTTGTCACAACCCCTCGGGGTGGGAGTGTCAGAAAGGGGTGTCAGGGGGTCATGAGTGACCATCACACCTGTCCCATGGTCTTATGTGGGGTGAGGCCCCAGTATGGAAGAGGCTGAGAATCCCTGATCTTACTCATTTGTGCGCTGGGAACAGAGCAGGGATTCTCGTGAGCTTTGCCCATCGCTAACTCCTAGGATTCTCTTATTTGGCTAGTTCCCTGCATCCCTGATGCACCTGTGTGAAAGGGTCACAGTCGACTATGCGGAAAGTCTTGCCATAGATGGTGATGTTCATGCCCCGATTCAGGTCTTTCCAGTGGTAATGGTCCCCTCGGTCATTCTTGGGTATCCGCTGGCGTTTGATGAGCTTGCCCTGAGGAATACCCGAGTTCTCCACAATGGGCTCCATGACAGACATGCTGTCGTCCTCCAAGTAGTAATAAATACCCACTTGGCGGATCCGGAAATGCTCTTCTGTGGATATAGGAACATCTTCCTGGAAATAGGCATCAAACTTCAACACCTGCAACGTGGGGAAGGACCGCAGAAGGAGAGAAGGAACTGACATTAGTGACGGCATTAATCAAAGGTCTTGTTAACGTTTGCCCTCTGCTTTGACAACATGGGTCACTGGGCTTAGTACTTATCATGCCATCGAGGGCCCCAGAGTCTGACCACGGACTGACTGCAAGAGCATCAGGGGAGCTTTCATTGCTGGTGGTTTTTCTAGAGCCCAATATTTTGTAAATTTTTCCCTTGTCCGAGGCACCCAGGGACCGAGTGTAAGTGGCTTGAATAAACATAGCACCTGCCCCCCCCAAAAGATCTCCAAGCCCTTTACAGCCAGGGGCCCCGCCTAGCAAGTTGCTGAGCTCTCCGGTTCCCCTTGGTGGAGCTTACTGACATACACAAGCTTCTTTAATATGCTCAGCCTCTCAGAGTCAATGTGGCTGCCGAGCTGCCAACAGGGGAATCCATTCTCACGTTCTCCGGCTCCACTACTGAAGAGGTTTCCTGTGCTCTACTGGATTTGAGAATCTGCCTCGCTCTCCTCCAGTTGCATTTGCCCTGCAGGCTGACACCGAGACCCAGACTGTGCGTGGGGAGGTGGTGGCGAGGGAGGGTCAGGGCACAAGGCGACTGCCCTGTCTTGGTCACCCAAGTACAGCCACAATCACAGTTCCTGTGCTTGGGCGAAGCACAAGGAATGTTTCCTCCATGAGATCCCAGGCTGCAAAGGGTGTGGAGTAGCTAGGGCCATGGAGCTGCCTGCTTCTCCATACCAGCCCACAGAGCTGGCCAGGCATGCTGTGGGTAGCAGATGGTGCCACCCTAAAAGCTGGCCCAGCCTACGCATTCCCCCTTGGGCTCTCCGAGCTCAAAGCGGGATTGCAACTTGCTGGGGCATGATCCCTCCCAGGCTCTGCAAGGGGTGGTGCAGGACGTTCCTTAAGGACACAGTCTGGCCCGAAGCAGATACGCTGACGACGACTAATGCAGGAAGTCTATATGGGGCAGTACAGGCACACGGACACTGTGGTGATGAGCACGGTATAAACTCCCAGCTCGACAAACAGGAGATGCCCGCTTTGCATGGGCCCTTTAGGAGCCTGGCTCTGTTGCAGCTCCAGCATAATTTTGCAAGGAGAACATGAGAGGGTGGGACTTACAGGGAGATGGTTATAAAGTGAAGCATCCAGAGTTCATCCGAGTTCTCTTTAAACTACTGGAAATGTCCTTGCGTAGCTCGTGGGGAATGCTTTATAATGTTTACCTACTGTAATCCTCTTCGCAAGCAAAGAAAGCCTCTTTCAATCCAGACGTCAGTTGTCTATGACTAAGGACTACAGCATCTGGAAACTACATTCTATACTGTCTGTTCCCCAGACCCTGGTGTTCATGGCTCACAGCCCTGGGTTTGGCTAGCAAGGCTCCTGAACTAAGGCTCTCTGTACCTTTTTGTCAAAAGCCACATGTGCTGGAATGAAGTCGGAAGGTGGGGCCTGCTTGGCTTGCCCGTAGGTCAGCGTGGGTCTCTTGTTGGACAGTTCGTCTAATTCGGCCTGGGACAGCTGGTTCACATAGAGTCGCTCCCTGCCTATCCCCATCGTCGGTAGCCGTGAACAGGCAAAGCCATTCCTATAGCCCAGTGTCTGGGAGCGATGGAAAGCCGATTTCTGAGGAAAGCAATTCAACCATTAAATACAGTCTGGCACCAGCTAGATCTTGATACACAAAGCAAATTCTTTCACCAAAAAAAACAGATCAAGGTGTCAAATATCCTGAAAAATGGCAGCGCGTGTTACTGTCATCTCTTGCAACAATTATTACTTTAACCTTTCCTGGTCTCACTCAGCCAAAGTAGGTTGCAGAGAGGACAGGTGTTTTGGGGAGCAGGCACTGGTTTGGAAATCAGGAGATCAGTGGCGATAGATCTAAAGGAGAATCTCAATTTGTCCTTAGCAGGATAGAGCCTCTGACACATTGTTGAGCCGTTCTCATTCCATGCCATAGAAGGAGGTGGGAACCATCACATTACAATATACGGAAAGAAAACTCCTTCCACGCCCCGACTTTGCAATCAGTTCAGCCTTGAGCATGTGAACAAACCGCCCAGTTGTTAAGCCTCTAATCCTATTTCTAATCCCAAGGCACCAATAGCATTCCAAGTACTTGCCCATTTTTCCTTAAACTTAAATACAGTGGCCTCTGCCGGCGCTGCTCAGGACAGAGCAGCAGTGAAGCAAGAGGGTTTATTTAAGGGAAGATAATGGACAGTTGCATAAATATTATACTTGCTGCAGAATAACCATTTCCTGGTGGTAAATAAATGCCTGGGCGAAGTGGAGGTGTTTGTGGGAAAGACAGCTGAGACAAAACCAGGACGCTTATCTGTTAAAGCGGGGAACAGCAATCCTGAGACAGAGTAAACTGCAGTGTATTTGGGCCCAGTCCTGCAGCCCTTAAAGGCACTAAGGCAGTCGCCTAGGCACCTAATGGAATTTTTAAAAGTGCTTATCTGCCTCCTTAGGCCCCTAACTGCCTTTATGGATCGGGCCCATAAGGACTCCCAGTGATGTTAAGAGGACCAATCAAGTGAGTCTGGCTTCCAGATCAGGACTCTCCTACCAAATGACTGATGTGAATGTAAAGAGAGAGCCCTAAATGTAAGCTGCTGCAGCTGGTCTCAGCTACGCCAGCCAGTATCTGAAGGAACAACCATTGACTTCAGTGCAGTTCCTAGCCCATTCTCCCCCTCAATGAACACATCAACCATTTTTTGCCTTCCTAGTGCAAATTGCTGCCACCAGCTCAGCACTTCTGAGCAACCCGTTAATAATAACCCGACTAGCCAACTCCTGCTCGCAGTGGATGTTTTTGCTAGAAGATCCGCTCCAGTTCAAACAGAAATTAATTCAGCAAAGTTCTCTGGCCTGTCCTATAGAAGAGGGAAGGCTAGATGGCCACAACAGGCCCTTCTGGCCTTCAAATCTAGAAGTGACTGTGAATTACACCAGTTGTCCTGTTGATGTCAATGAAACGACTCACATGAGTATGGCAAGCAGGATTTCTACAGGCCAGAGGAAAGAAACATTTGGCCAAGGAACTAGATTTGAGGTTCAAACTCTCACAATGGTGAGAGAAAAAATTTAAATGGTGAAGAGCTGGAACAAAGCCTTTTTAACTGTGTCTGATCGGGGTGGGGACAAGGAGTGACAGCTCTTCCCTGAACAGCTGACTTCTCAGTGGCTTGTCAGGCTGATTGATTGTGTGCCTCAGAATGCAACTGGCCAACAATTGCATGCTGAGCTGAGCCCCGTGTCTCCATGAAAATCATAATCCATGCAAATGTGAAAAAAAGCAGAGGAGTGGTTAATGGGTCCTCAGATCCCATCAAGGACGATGGGGGAAATTAAGTCCCATGGCGGGACACTGAGTTTCAAAAGGAATATGGGGGTATCCAATCAGCAGTAATGGGGTTATCATAGGTACCACTGGGGTAGCAAGAGAGCATGGGATCTTTGCCCAGGGGAGAATCAGATCCCTTCAGGGATAGCAGGCTCTATCAGGGGCCAGGGGGGCAGATATTCAACCAGTGTGTTAGAGTGCGGTTGGAAGGGTATCTGGGGAACACTACAGCCCATGGGGGGGGCATTGGGTTCCCATGGAGGTATCAGGATGCATAGGGTCACTATCATGGAGTATCAGGTCCCATGGGGATAGCAGGAGGGTACAGAGCTATCAGGCCCCATGGGGCACAGAGGTACCTATCCTGGGGATATCAGATTCTCATGAGGGTCCCATCCCTATCAAGGAGGGTGTGAGGACCCATGGGAGTCTGAGGACGATTTGGAACCAATGGTCCCATATCCTCGAGTATTGGGAGGGCACAGGGATCCCTGTCGTGGGGTAGCAGTTGTCATTGGGTACTGAGTCCCATGGGAGGTATCAGGAGTGGGAGGGAATCGGCAGAGGGATTGGGTCCCAAGGGGTATCCGGTCGGGGGAAGGATTGAATCCTGGTGGGATGGGAGGTGGGGATTGGGTCCCAGGGAATCGGGTCCCCGTGGGGGCTCGGTCTGGGGGCGGGGGGGAATCGGGTCCCGTGGGGGGAGGGGGACCGGGTCCCGGGGGGCTCGGTTCGGGGGGGGGGAGGAGGATCGGGTCCCGGGGGCACTGCCGGGGGCGCGGGCCCGCGCTCTCCTCACCGTGGGGTCGCTGAAGGCGCTGCCCGGCAGCAGGGGCAGCCCCTGGACGGGATGGGCGCTCATGGCCAGCGGGCGCCTGGCGCGGCGGCTCCCGGTCCCCAGCCTGCCGCGGCGCCCGGCAACGCCGTCACCCTGGCAACCGTAAACATTCCCGCGCTCGCTTGCTCGCTAAGCGCGCGGGCTGCGAGGGATGCGCCGCCTCTGGGCATGCGCGCTGGGTGCAGCCGGCTCCTGCCGCCGCGGGAGCCGGGGGCTAGGGCGAGTGTTTCCCGGGGTGGGGGCTTTGCCCCGAGAGCGCTGCCAAGCCCCACCTGGCAGCCCCCTCCCCCCCCCCCCGTGCCAGGGTGCAGCGCAGCCAGCACGGGGCTGGGCAGGGACTCGCAGCACCAAGCCCCTGCCCCCTGCCTGTGCGCTAGGGCCCCTTCCACCGGCTGGGCTTGGGGGGGTC